ACAAAAGAATTTTATTTTTGCGAACGGTTTTGAAATTTTTTTCCAAAATTTAAATAGGATATTTCTTTTTATTATTTAGATGGCGTATTTTTTTGAGAATATTGAAAAATCAAAAAAGTAAGAAAACAACAGTATAATTGAAAGAGAAAATTATGCTCGCAAAAATTTCTAGAAAATGATAAAGAAAGTTTTCCGAAATGAATTTTTGAAAAATTTTCCGAAAATTTTTCCAGAAATGTTTTGAAAATTTGGAAAACATATTCCGATTACAATTTTTTTTTTACCCGGATATGTACACAGTTGCAACAATGAAGATGCCCAGACTTTATTTGTGTGGCTTATAAATAATTCTTCGTCGTCCCGAATTTAACGTTCGATATTTTCACGTCATTTTTCCATTTATTTCAAAAGCCAAAAATAATTTATTAACAGCGAATTGATGGGTTTTGCGTAATGGCTCGTGATCAACCGAGGATTGAGGGACAAATAGAAAGTTAGTCATTGACATACGAAAAAAATTCGATAGTATCTCGAAGCGATTCATTCCGGTGAACACCACATAATCAACGCATGAAAGGGTCATCCACTCATTAGAAAATCCATTGAATTGCTAATTCTGACTTCGACGACATGCGGATATGTCACGCCCCCCCGATGCAGTTATTTCTCATAGCTTTGTAGCAATTGGAGAGATTAACATATCAAAAGAAAATACCAAGAACGTAGAAATCGTCGAGGTCGAGTCGATATTGCGTACCAAAATCATTCCTCCATTCATCGAATCCTGTTCTCAACAAAATGGGATTTAAAACAAAAATAAAAACGTGATTGTTGTTTTTTTTTTTTTCAATTCTACACCTCTGCATTTGTCGAGGTTTAATTGCTCCCATTGTCAAATTATTCAGACGAGAGACCGACGTTCGTATCGATTTTTTCTATCGATTGAATTCCCCCGGGGTATGCCATTATTTTCAACTCCACGGGAGGAAAAAAAAAAAAAAATCAACCCAACAAAAACAAAAAAAAAAACAGATGCATTCAGAGTACTTTTGCGAGCATTGAAGGACACCGCTAATGGAATTACATGTGACAATAATCCCTGACTGTGCAAATACATTAATCTTTGGATCGATTTATTCTTCTGCGTTACGCAATTCACGTTTCTAGTTCTCTTAGCCATCTCCCTTTCGTTTTCAACTTGTTTCTTCCTCTGCCCCACCTCCAACATCTCTAAACAAGTAGATTATGTAGTCAGACGATACGTCTCAAGCCAATTTTCCCGTCACAATAAAAATTTCCTCGATCTCTCCCGATTTCACATAAACCGCGAGAACCCCAAATCTTCACCTTCCCCAAACACCGATTAATCTCCAAAGCTGTTGATTTTACGATAAAATCCCAAAAGATCATTTCCATCGAAAATTCAATCACCTCCAAAAAATATATTTTGACAATTTCTCCTAAAATCGATAAATCCCGAGATAAATCGATAATCAATAGATCCATTAAATTAAAAATACGTCAGTTCACTCGGTTGAATTACCATTGTCACAAATTTCTTATTCTTATTGGTCGTGACGTCAGTAGCCAATTCAGAGAATTGAAGTCGATGGTAATGATATTGAATGATTGAGAATGAAAATTGAAGGGGAAAAATATACGTACCGCAGTCTGAGCAAGATAAACCGGTTTCTCCTTGTAATGAAACGAGTCCTCGCTGTATAGCACTGATGGTAACTCCACTAATTATAGATTTGGGTTGATTCTTTTGGTGCACGCGAGATGATGTAGTTTATTGGAATTGACGACAGAAGTGGAGACTATTTCACACCGGTATCGCCGTGTCGACTGGTTTGGGTTTTGACAGGCGAGATCTGACCGCGCATTTCGCTGCTCCCACCAACTTGCGCGGACATAAACTCGGAGCAATCCGGAGATTTTATATGCGCGCGCCATTCAATAGGCCAAGGAGCAGCTGAGACTTGCGGAATAAATATCTATTTACCTGCTAGTACTTTGTGGTGGGGTAAGGGGAAAGGGGATGGGGTAGATGGAGGGGGATTATTAACGGTATTTTTGGGGGATTTTCACCCTGGGACTGACGGTTGTCACCTACGAGGTCGCGCATCGGGAAACCGACACGTTTCAAAAGCCGGACACGTGTGGTTATACTTCCGGGGGGAGGGACGAAACCGGAAACCCTATCTCCAGGAGGAATATCGAGTGGGGATTTGTTGACGCTCATTGGGGCTATTAATTATTTATGGGATTAGGTGGCTGATGGGTGGTGGGCTCATTAAAAAGAGATAATGGGATTTTAGGTATTAGGTGGGGGAGGTTTTGGGACGATTACTCAGGGAAATTTATTTTGGGGGTTTTTTTTTGTGTTGGAATTGTCGGGGAATATTTAATTACCGAATTTTACGTAATTCAAAGGGAAATGTGGGGAAGAGAAAATTTTATGGAAAATGTTACAGAATTTTTAGTGGAAAATTTTGATAGGATTATTTTGAAATTTTTATGGAATATTTATCACCGTGTGAATTTTGAAAAGTATTTGGCTATTTTCTTGGTAATTTCTATCGGTCATTGAATCTTAGACGTGAGAAAAATTCCAGAATTAATAGCTAAAGGGTTCAGCAGTTGTGAATAGTGAACGATAGTTATCTCCTTATTTTCAAATACAGCTGAGTGCAAATTGGCGAGTCTCCAAGGTACCTCGTCAGCATGTGCACAGCAATACATAGTGTATTTATGTATCTGTGTGCACAATTGTGCCAGAGAAACGGTTGAGGTGAGGTTCACGAGAACGAGTGCAGTATATATTTTCCTTATCAGTTTTTGCACGGGTTCTCGGGTGAGTCGGTAACGCCTCTTCCTTTGGGGCTCTAGACAAAACCCCCTGACGAGTCCATTGTGGAAGAAAAATATTTCACCCTCTCGATATTCAAAATTTACTCTCACGTTTAGCAATTTAGTAATAGGGATTTTTCTTTTTCAAACTGTTGCGTGTTGAATGCCATGATTTCTTAACGGCTAATTCATGCACATCTTTTGCAATCTTACCGTAATTATATTTACTGTTCGAAATGGTTATCACGCGATATTGGAGAATTTTTCACTTGAGAACTCATAATTTTCCGCGGAATGCCCGGGGGTTGTAGGATTATCGCTAGTATTAACTACAGTGCAGGATGTTTACCGCAGGACAAGGACAATTAGTCAAGCTCATGGTCATTAAACCGCACGGATTGACCTGTAATTATCAGTCTCGGATAATTGGCCTAGAGAATTATTCCGCTCGGAGACCCGAATTCAAATTCCTTGCGGTTTTACAAGAGATAAAACCTAATACTTTTGCCAAGAATATATTCAGAATGACCATAAAATACATATCTACAATATATTCTATAACTAAATATTTTTTTCATATGAATTACACTAATTTCATAAATGAGAAAAAGATTAGAAAAATAAAATGATGGAGGGAAAATTTTTTATTGACTATCCTTCGAGAATTAGAGTACCCAGTGTCAACTCAATTTAATATTTCCATATAATTAAAATACAATTAGGACTTCCAAGAACTGCGGTAATTTCACGTGAATTCCTAGGCCTTGAGCGAGCGCATTAACAATGATAATTAATTAAAGGGTGTACAGAGATAATACGCACAGGGAAATTCTCCCAGGTAATAGTGGAAAATTCCCACCGGAAATCCATAACCCCCGGGTGATTCTCAACCTCTTGAATCCCCTCTCTCTCCCTGAAAGACCGATTGCATGTGGTAATAACAATATTCATGTCCTCGCGCTCCCGTATGTCCTTGAGCTTTCATTTTTTTTCCATTATCTCTGATCTTCATTTCATTATACCATCTATTTTTACATAGAAATACATCGATCTGGAAACACGGCGAAAGGCAAATTGCACGTGCAACTCGCCATGAAAAATAACCGGTAATTGCGCAATTACCCGCGGATACACGAGAACTAAAAGAATATTTGCCACCATTTATCGTGATATTCGTAATAATGGCAGCGAAAATAGCGTCACGCAGGTGAAATGAAAAGAAAAAAGAGGAAAGAAAATATAGAGATAAATTATATCACTCATCCCTGTCATTTAGACTCCACTGATGTTTGTTTAACGATTCGTGAATTTCATATCGATACACATTCACTCGTATGATTTCTTTTTTTTTTATCACCAATAAACTAACGCACCATGAATAATGGAATGGACGATTAAATTTTTGATAAGCACTTGCCCAGCTATTCTTTATCATACCGGGAAGATCGTGAATGGTTGGATGAATAAAGGGAATGAAATGGGAAAATTGTGCTGAGGTTAAATCTAGCTTCAAACGGTGAGAATGGCTTTAGCGTTTATTAACGCGTTGGACGTGAAGATTAAAAGCATAAATGGACGTTACATTTGGGTCGTACAGTGTCTCATTGTTTCACAGTATGATCAGTTCCATTGTCTCAACTTGTTTTGAGGGGGCAGGGGTATTGAATTGAGTTCTTTGATTTGGAACGAGAAGTTGAAGGATTAATCTCGAGTCATTGATGCACGGTAATTTTCCGGTTTTGTTATTTCACATTGAAAATTATTGTTTAACGTTTTATTGATGATGACGGTTTATTCTTCAAACTCCAGTCATGTCTGCACGTTAATTTTCCGGTTGTGCTGTTTCAATTGATTGCTCCAACAGTTTGATGGAGAAAAATGTCGATTTGGTTAATCGGGAAAATCTTGCGTTTGTTAAATTTTCCATTCGCGTGGTGGATCAGTTAAAAGCTGAAATAGTTAGAGGGTTGTTTCTTGATTCATGTGGTAAGACTGAAATTGATTCATTCGACTAATGGAGTTGAGCTGCAGAATTATATTGCCTACCGGGGCCACATGTTTTATTCACGAGGCTATTCTCAACTTCTGCTGAATATTTTTTTCACTTGCGCGTCTGATTTTTTTAGTTTATTGCGTAATATACTCACCACAGTGCGATGTGAAGGAGCTGCAATTACCTTGAAGTATCAAAGGCCTGAAATTTTGTTGCCATTGAAATTTCTTCGTGAAATTTTTTCGTGAAATTTCTTCGTGAAATTTTTTCATGAAATTTCTTTATCAGATAATTGGTTTATGCAGGGCTTCACATGTTAATGATTCTCAAATACTTTAAAACTCACTGGTCGCTATTTTATCATCAATGCGCGGGAAAATCGTGACTCAACTCTCAATTAGCCGAAGACAAGGTGTCATTACCATTATTCGAGACAAAATGACCTCTTCATGGTCAAGAATATGTTGATAGTGTCTCCACGCACATCTGCCTCACCTCGACGATTTCCCGACTGAATCATCAATTAGTTTCTGAATGTCATAAAGAAATTCTTCAAAATAAATTCCTACAGATATGTGAAAGTGCCCTCGATAGTTAATGAATCATTACCCAGTGTCTAATGACTGCTGATTTCGTTTGAGGTATTATCCAAGATTTAATTATCCTCGGTGCAGGTGTTCAGTCATCCCAGGATAAAACAGTTCTAGGTAATTACTCGACACTCCCCACATTTTTCAACCCCTTAATCACTATTTTTTCGTATCAATCACCACATGCGCGGTGGATGTCATTCGAAATGATCATGAGATTTGGAACTGGGATAAATTTCAACCGCACAGGACATTTCGATCAGCTTCTGACCACTGGAATTACTAGATTTGCGCGCTTCGGGTGTTCATTTTTTGTACCTTGCTCCTTGCTCCTGTTGATGATGCTGATCCAGTGCAGGTGTTGAATCACGACAAGTCGTCGCCATCTCTGGGTATCAGGAAGAACTTTAAACCTCGCGAAAATCGTATTATCAGCCAACAGAGAATATTCCATTTTAATCCAGCTTTGTTAATGATTTCTTCATCAAATCACTTCTTATCGTCTACCAATATCAAAAGATTTCGCTATTTGAAATTCAATAGTTGATAAAATAATAAACAGAAACTCGAGGATGGGATACAATTGAATTCCACGAATTTCACGAATAGGCACGAATTTATTTATTTACATTTTTACATAGCTCTCGTATTTACAATTCATCTGATTGGAAATAGACGGGTTTTGAATCGAGATTGATCATTGGGGTAGAATATTTGTTATTGAATTCAAAATTTCGGAGGCCTGACGCACCTCGCGTTCAGGCAGATATTTCCACCACCGCAATGTGTACCATCAGCAGCAGCATTACCCATTGTACCGCAGTAATTGTCATCGCGCCCTGCCCGGATGCACATGAGTCTCTGGCAGATTAACTCATCTACCTCGCAGGCTTTGGTTCCCTCGAGCTTCTGGCACTGTTGATCAGCTGTCATTATACTACCTGGAAGATATCTCGGTAGGATGTTCTTCTTGTGGGGCTTGTTGTAGAGACAAGTTGGACCAGTTCTGCGAGCAATTGATAAAAATATCAATAAACATGTCATCTTGTCATGCTCAGGGAGTACTTACTCGAGGTAGTTCTGAATCTGTCTCACGGTGCACTTTGACCAGTCTGAAGAATTCTCATTTAGATGAGGAACACCAGCCATTATGAACCCGTCAGTGTGAGGACACTCTGTGGTGTCATGTCGTGCACCGAATCTAGAAGAATTATTTATCGAATTGAGGATATTTCTCTTGTTTTCGTATTTATTTTTACTTACGAGTGCCCCAGTTCGTGGACAGCTGTGTGAACTCCATCGAATGCAGCGGAATCTGTGAGGAGAACTGAACCTCCCAGCTCTTTGAAATAATCAGACCTTTTGCAGGCTGCCGCTATAAATGCCATTCCTGAAATGAAAATTATAATAAGGTGTATTCTACTTGACGAATTGACAAATCAGCAAATCAGAATTGATGATCGCTTATTCGTTTCAAAGAAACGAAATCAAACGGATTGATCTTTGATGAATTATTACCTAGAGTCCCAGGGTGACAGTTGGGATCGCCTTTGTAGAAGTTGCACAGTGCCTTTCTGAAAGGATAAATCGTCAGGGTAATTCGAGATATTTTGATAGATTTTGGGATTGTGGAAAGTGATATTACGAGGTCATCGTGACGACAATGTCGTAATTCTCGATTGGGATGTCATCCTTCCTGGCGTACCAGTAGGTTCCACTCTCTCTCAGGGCAGGAGTGGCAACTGTTGTATTCTCATCTTCCGCATTCGCCGCCAGGTACACCAGCACCTCGGGATCCTCAGCTAGAACAATACCTGCGATATTCAATCTGAACTTTGGATTCTGGAAGGTTCTGTAACGCAAGTCGACGCTGTTCCAGAACGCCAGGATGTAGGCTGTCGAGTGCCAGAAATCGTTGCCCAATTTCTTGTAGAGATCGTTAGCTACGACAATCAGAAGCTCAGGGTACACCGTATCAGGTATTGGAAGCTGTGGTGATTCGGTTTGTGTGTCGGCCCTCGCGAGTACTGAAAGCAATTATTCGGTGGATCAAATTGATGTCGAATAGAAAATTCTTGAGGAAAATTTCCGATTCTTACGGGGTTCAGGGTGTTCGACGTTGATCGAAGAGGGACTCCTCTTGTACACGATGTGATAATGATGATCATCTTGTTCAGAGACAGCAATATCATCTGCTGATCTCCTTTGTCTTCTTACTTCCCCGATGAGGCGCTCAGGAATCGGTGCGATCACCAGGTGTTCAGAACCTATCGTACCGATCTGAATGCACAGGGGGTAATCAGTTTCGATGTCTTTTCTTTTTATTTCGTTTTACTCACCATCTCTCGGCTTTTGTCCTCTCGTCGACGAACCACCAGGGCAGCAGATTTCTTCGTATCTTCGAACCCGTCAAGCCTTTCCATTACCTAAAAAGCATAATAAAAAATTATGAACCCCGATCTGTGAAGATCGAATGGCAATGTGAAACTTACGTTGGAAAATTTCGTTATTTTCGGAGCGGAATCTCCTGATTTCAGGAGATAAACTGGGGTATCGTATCCGGCTAAAACCGAGTCCGTCGGCTTCAACCACAATTCAATATCTGCACCGAAAGCTTTTAGATAAATCCCAGTGCTACCATCCGCTGATCTCCTCTCCACCCTCGGCCAGTGAATAGACGTGATTTCATACTCTGGCACTGTAATTTTGGAATTTCAAACAAACCGAAAATTATTGATATTCTTATTATAAATTATTAGTATTATTACCGTCGCTCGTTTGGAAAATTTGCAGTCTCTCGGTGGGGGTCATTCGCTCGTGCAACTGCGGGTTTTGAGTTGAATTAATATTTTTGCACTTACGTTCTTCTGGTATTGAGCTGTTGATTAATCATTATTTACACTCACCTGGTGCACTGGTACAGCATTTGCTGCACATAGTGCAGCGATTCCCCATAGGAGCGTCGGTAGTCCTGAAAAAAAAAATTGAAGGATTTTAACCCGGGTAAAAAAAAATTGTCATCGGAATATTTTTTCGAAATTTTCAAAAAATTTCTGGAAAATTTTTCCGAATTTTTTTTTATGAAACAAAAAAATCAGAAAGCAAAACAATTTTATTTTTGGGAAAGGTTTTGAAAAATTTTTCAAACATTTGAATAGGAAATTTTTTTTTATAATTTAGATGGTGTATTTTTTGAGAATATTGAAAAATCAAAAAAGTCAGAAAATAGCAGTATAACCAAAAGAAAAAATTATATCCGCAAAAATTTCTAAAAAATTATAAAAAAAGTTTTCCGAAACAAATTTTTGAAAAATTTTTCAAATCATTTCCCAAAAATACAATTATTTTGTTTCCCGATTTTTTTTTTGTTAAAAAAAAAATTCTGATAAATTTTCCAGAAGTTCTTTGAAAATTTGCAAAAAATACTAATCCCTTCTGTCGTAAAGAACTCACCTCTCATCTTCCAGTGATCTCTTCCTCGAGAAATTACAAACAAGTGTGAATGGAGTACGTCGTACGGTTCCTTTTAAATGTAATCCGCCCTTGATGGTTTATTGATAATTTGATAAAAACACCTGGTTGCATAATTTTAATTCGATTGGCAAGTTCACTCAGCAAGATCCAAGGTTACCTGATGTTGTGGTACATTCCCACGTCCCGCGGGATTTACATTCGCCAAAAATTTCTACTGACAATTTTTCAATTGATTTGCCACTCTCAAATATTGATTTAGTGTATTTAACCGCGAGATAAATAGAAGGCCTTGCAAATTATCTGACGTGTTGGCGGCTTGCTTTTTTCATTAATGAGAGAATTTTTTTGGATTGAGGAAGGATTAGTGGGTGAATAACAATCTCAATTGCGATATGTATACATGTCATTTATTCTAATTATCTATAGAGTATTAAAATTTAACAAAAGGTAATATAATGTCCCCAAAACTTATCACAATTAATAAAAGTAATATTTGATCCGCGTTACGATACCATAAGCATTCGATTTACTCCGGAAGCATTAATTCCTCGAGTAAAAAAAAATTGTAATCGGAATATTTTTTCATAATTTTCAAAACATTTTTGGAAATCTTTTCGGAAAATTTTTCTTTTCAAAGAAAAAAAATCGGGAGAACAAAACAATATTATATATTATTTTTGAATAATTTTTGCAAAACTTTTCGTAAAAATAAAATTGTTTTATTTTTCGATTTTTTTTTGTTTCATAAAAAAAAAATTCTCGAAAGTTTTTCCGAAAATTTTTGAAAATTTGAAAAAAATATTTCGATTACAATTTTTTTTTACCCGGGATTACTTGGATCGTTAATTCGTTTTATTAAAAAAGTTATTTTCATTTGCAAATGCAGCCTTAATATTCCCTTACTAAGACGCTGTGTAAATTAATGAGCTCGGGTTAAGGAATTATTACTTTCTAAATGTTCTTATTCTTCACATCATCGGTTCGCATCTTTCGGTTTTATACGAATGGTTATACACTGTTGGAAAATTACACTTGAAACTTCAAGTTTAAAAACCTTGAAATTCTCCTCAATTTCTAATCGAAGGGTTATTTTATTTTTTGAATATTCAGGTAATTATTTGCTTTCCGGTCGATATGGCACTGAAGAACAGTAAAAATTGTGAAAATTCAAGCAATAATTTTCCGGAATTTTCAATCTAGTCGGAAATAGATTACTATTTAGCATGAGCAATCCAATTCTGAAAAATTTTCAAGATAAAACCGTTATCAATCGAAATTAGTTTCAGGCTCGTATATTTGAGAATTCAGATGACCCAGTGATTGAAATTTCAAGAAATTTTTAACAGTGCAATTAATAACAAAATTGGCAACTCCTATCGCACGAATTTCTTGTTACAATTTACCACATATTTTTGAGGGAATATATCTAAAAATATTCAAAATGAACAGTGAAATATTCCGCTGAATATTTTATTATCAATAATTATAAATATCAGAAAAATCAACGGTCGGTTATCCAATGGTTTCGTTGAAAATTCAACTCATTCGAAAAAACTGTTCTCCAAATAAAATTCAATTATCCGCAATTACAATTACAATCTCCTCCGGTAAAAAAAAATTGTAATCGTAAAATGTAAAATTTTCCCGAAATTGTTTGAAAATTTGAAAAAAATATTCCGATTACATTTTTTTTTACCCAGGTCAATTCAGCAAAATCTCAAAATATCAAAATTTGATACTCGATATTCAAGTTCTCAGTAAAAACAGGTGATTATTTCGGATAAAAAAATTTAATTCCTGGAAATATATATTATCGCGGTGAATCACGAGGTACATCATTTGGTACATCTTCATGATTTATTCTGGTCTCGATTGGATCGATAGTCGATGGTTTTTTTATTTGGGCCGTTGTTCGACAAGTGCTTCCACAGTCCCGTAATCAGGGGTACGTCTGTGAAATTATCGGCCTTGGGCTACGATTGCTACGAGCACATGAGATCGACAGATCTAGACTCTCCCCAGGCATTTTGAACCTTGAATCCTGGCATTGGTCTTGGTACGACATGATGGCTCATGCTACCGGTGTGTCTGATTGTCGCCATGGGGATGCCGCTGGTTGCTGATTTTCTCGTTTTTCTCGTATCTCCGGTTGAATCATCTTCAAAATGAACCTGACGTTGCGAATCCAATGGGAAAGAAACGATGATAAATTATCAATCTTCACTATTTTATGGTGTTGAGGACTTACCCAGGATTTTTCGGTGGGTTTCACCTCGTGGGTGAGATCGATCAGCAAATTTTTATCCGTTTTCTTGGTCTCTACTCCATCCTCGGATTTTTCCACTGTATTCTCACCACCTGAGCGACAAATTATGAGGATTCATTGTCGAGGGCATCATTCAGTGTAGTCGGAAATTCTCAGGGTAATTGATAACACAAGAAAATGTTTGGCTTAGACAATCCCACTCGAGCTCTTGTCAACACCGATAATTCAATTGTACTGGGTAATGTGTGCCTCATTACCACTCGACAAGGAAATCAACACCGCGAAAATTAATGTATCCGTAAATATACTTGACGCCCATAATTAAACAATTAATTAAACTTTGTTTGGTTGATATTTCGGATCTTCTGGGAATTTTTATTTAATAATTCACCGCGAATTGAAAATTTCTTCAACAATGACTCAATGAAATTGTAATCGGAATATTTTTTTCAAAAATTTCGGGAAAATTTTTCAGAAATTTTTTTTATGAAACAAAAAAAAATCGGAAAACCAAACAATTTTATTTTGGCAAAAGGTTTTGAAAAATTGTTCACAACATTTTCCAAAAATAAAATTGTTTTATTTCCGAATTTTTTTTCTTTCAAAAGAAAAATTTTCCGAAATATTTTCCAGAAATGTTTTGAGAATTTGAACAAAATATCCCGATTACAATTTTTTTTTTACCCGGGTAGTCAGAGACAATGAAGATGTGGAGAAAAATCTCGGATGAAAAATGATTAATTGTATTTGATGGATCGGTGTGTCAATGGAACCACTAGATTCCCTCTCAGGTTATCCTGGAGTTAATGGAACTCTCGGGTAACCAATCGAATTTCGCATTTGCGATTAAACTTCTCTATCGCAATCCAGTGGCTATTCAATACTATTCATTCCCTAATTTGCATATTTCAATTGACATTCATACCAGGTGCACTGGCGAACCCCACGAGCAAGTGTCAATAGCAATTGCTCGAGGGATATTGCTCTGGTAGAGGGATGATGAAAACAATTGATATACTTACGGGGAGTGGATGGGGTCTTGCTGGATTGATGATGAATACGTGGATCTGATCGGGACTGTTGCCAGGCCTCGTATGCTGTGTTGAATGCCTGGGCAACAGTTAGTGTCACTGTTTGCGCTGTTTTTCTTTTTGGGCATAAAAAAGCATGGCACTCCATTGTTTCGTTGAGATTTGTAGCGATAAATGCGAATACGTGATCGTGTGCTG